TCAGAAGAAGCTGAAAGATTCCTTGAAACTGGAGTTACAGATGGTTGTTAGCTGCCATGTGGGTGCTGGCAATCAAATCCAAGTCCTCTGCGAAAGCAGCTAGTGTTCTTAACTGCTGAGCCTCCTCGCCAACCCCCTGAAGTGAAATCTTTTATGCAGTGCTGGTGACATGATCTGCAGGTCTGTGGAAGTGTGACAAAATGATTAAACCATTGATTGTTGAATCATACTGTCTAGGTCTATCTACTCCCTGTGGGATGTGGGGCAAGTTACTGAACATCCCTGGACTGTAGCTTCCTTAGCTATAAAGTGAAGGTCATATCTCTAAGAGTGTTTGAAGGAATTATTGAATTAATATAGGATAAAGTATGTAAAAAGGTGTCAGGCCTCTGGAAGAGTACATATGATATTTAGTATTATGTGTTTTTGATGTTGATTTTACTTAAGAAAAAAATGAATTTGTTACAAGAAGTTATAAAAGTATTTTCTTAACAAATATCGCTTTAGATCTTCCTGACAGACTGAAGTTGATAATTCAGATGGTACACTTCCAATTCTTCCTATGTGCCATTTGTTGAATGGTGAGTCCAGGCAGCTCCTGGGGCGTTTCTTTAGGCCTCTATCTAACTGTAATTAGATGACATAAATATCTAAATAAAGGTTTTTGGGTTTTTTTTGCTATTTTAGTTGCTTTTTAGAGTCAAATAAGTAGGCATTGAAAATGGGCTTTTCTTCACAGTATTTTGAAATTTGTGTTTGACTTAACATGAGCTGTTTTCTTTGTGTGTAAACATGAGAAAGACAGCTGGATCAACTGGGATGTAGCCGTGCTGAGGTGCCGCACAGCTGGTCTTGCTCCCGCCACAGTGTGCACAGCGCCATCTGCTGGCAGGCTTCTCTGCCGCCTCTGACAAAAATTAGTGTCAAGATTTTTTCCAATTAGTTGCTTGATAATTTAAATTGCATCTTTCATTTGGTTGATACTTTAAAAATCCAAATACAAGCATCTCAAAATTCCCTGAAAAGCATGAAGTGCCAGTTTTTCATGAGAAAAGGTGTGTTGTGAAAATATATTCACAAAACCTTTTCCACATACAGGCAGATGGGTGCTTTGGCATTTTACTTAGTATAGTTGGATGTCATCTTGTTTGCTTGTTGTTCAACTTCCTAAAGCAGGCAGGGCAACTATGGTTACAATTTGACAACAAGAAAGTTGAGGTCTAGAGTGCTTAGGTAACAGCCCTCAGATCACTCAACTTACTGTGGACAGGTTGAAGCCAGAATCTGGGACTTAATTGAACCCCGCAGTGCCGGGCTCTTCCTCCAGTTCTTCTCATCCTCTGTGTGTTTCAGATCACATAAACACTATACTTCTGGCATTAGTAGACATGTAAGCTGAAAAGTCACCAAATTATTAGATCTTGAAGGTAGATTATATAAAGGAATCAACTTTCTTAAGCCTCGAAAAGCATATTAAGGAAGATCCAAAGCTTTGCAGAGTATTGAGTCCCCCCACTACTGTTGATACTTCACATCAAAAGAATAATTTATGTTACATTAAAAGATATTAATACTATTTTGATTATTTTTACCCTGTGATAATATACTCTGTGAATCTCAAATTATTCCACAACTGATTGAAGCACTGTACTCCCTAATAGTGACTTTTGCTAAAAAAAATGTTTTTCTTCTGTTAAATGTTAATTTGACTTTTAAAACTTTTATGCAACTTGGGAATAAGAATTTGGCCATTATAGTTTATTGGCAGGATATTGGCTCTAAAATTCACCAAGTGCAAATGAATTTACTGATGCAGGGTAATCATATGTACTGTTGATACCACCTCAAATATCACAAGCTGCCATTGTTACTGCTTCTCCTTCACCTTACGATACTGAGGATTTCTCCTATGACTGCTTCCTGAAGTACTCAGATCTTTATTGTGAATGTCATGTTGTAAGTGTCTCTGCTATTCCAAAGGGCTTCGCTTTCTAGTCTCTGCTACTTCTCATCTCCAGAAATTTACTCACTTTTTCTGTCTCCAAATTTTCACTTTTGTTGTTTGCCAATTCTGCCTGTTTGTTAGCATTGCTTTTAACCTTTAAAAAAAGATGAAATGCTGGGCTGGAGAGATGGTTCAGTGGTTAAGAACACTAGCTGTTCTTGCAGAAGACCCGGGTTCAAGCCCCAGCACCCACATGGCAGCTAACAACTAACTGTAGTTCCAGGGGATCTGACAGCCTCTTCTGTTCTCCACAGGCATTGCATGACACGGAACACTTACATAAATGCTGGCAATACTCATAAAATAAAAATAATAAAACATTTTTAAAAAGATGAAATGCTTCTACATCTCACCTCTCTTACACTAAGTATGTGTTCTAATTCCATGTGTAAAGCCATGTCTCTAATTAGAAGCAGGTGCCTTACAAGAAGTCTCTTGGAATATCCATGAGTCTATGGATGAATATGTCAATGACAGGTCTGGATTTCAACCTTCACTTTTGTTGTAACTATAATGTTAAGAATGCTTTTACCAGCTAATTAATCCAGAAGAGGAATGTGGGGAGACTCTGCCTCCAGCTGGGCATATGAATTATGGTGTAAGAGAACCTGCTTGTGACCAAATGGCCTATAGAAATCACAACTTTTGTCTAGCATTCAACTTCTCTGTATGTTGGATTCAAAATTACCCCTTTAATAAAAATATGAGTGTTTTTAGTTTTATTTTCTGTAGGTGTAGCACACAAATCTACCATTCCTCCATATGACAGCTATAAAGGTTTTGTGGACTTTCTTTCTACTTTAGTTAATCTAAAGTCCTTCAAAGGCCCTGCCCTCATTTTCTGCAGTCATAAGTTTGAGCAGTTTGCCAGCACGAGTTAAGTCTTTTAATTCTTTCCACAAATAGTATTTTTACCCTGTCCATTTGATTGATACTCAGAGAAATGAAGAGCTCATAGCATTGAGAGATTCAACTGAGATTATCTGAGCCTAGTAATGTCTAGTATCTAGGCTTTTAATCACTACATCTCCCTAGTCACCTTTTTTTTTTTTTTTTTTTTTGAGAAAGGGTCTCCCTGTAGCCCCAGCTGTCCTGGAACTCACTATGGAGACCATAGTGAGTCCACCTGCCTCTGCGTCCCAAGTGCTGGGATTAAAGGTGTGCACCACCACACCCAGCTGTCCTCAGTCATTTTTATATGACATATTTTCTGTGTTCCTTGCTCTATTCGCTTCCTTAAATACCAGTGAGTTTGTTGACCTCATCTCTTCTGTGTCAGCACAGGAACAATGAGCTCAGCACTTCCGGTACATTTTAGCCTTGAGTGGGACCACCTGGTCATGAGCTACTTGCCTGCACTCCTGGGCGGTGCAAGAGTTCGTTACATTACCGAATGTCTTACAAATCTTGGCCTATTTTGAATACCTAGCAAATCGGATCTCTCTATTCTGTGCCCATGTATATATGTGTGCATAGGTGTATGCTTACAAATATGTGTATTCATACATTTTTTTCACTTAAAAGAACTGTACATCTTTTTTACTTAAACTATACTTTGATATATTTAGCTTAGACTTTTAATCTCCATCTTGGTAGCTTTTTAAATGCTATTTAAAATTTCATTATACCTTCAATCTACACTGAAGGCCTGCAATTTTTAGGGTGTTCTATACAGTCACACTGGAATTTTGAAACATTTAGATTGAATTTCTGGGTCAAGGTGGTAAGTCAAAGTTTCATGATTCATGAATTTCTTTGTTGAGAGCATTCTATGATTCTTGAATTATATGTATTTTAAGCCCCCTCTTCTATGGAATCATGCCTATTCTTTCTCTGTACATTTTAGATAGCTATGCCTGCTGTCCAAACCTTCTGGCCCTCAATTGACTGTAGTTACTTTCCCTTCCTCTTTTAGTTCCCCTCACAAGTGTTGAACCCTTGTGCTCGGGAACAGCTAGGAACATTGAAGTCTAGTGAGGTAATTCTGCCTTTTGCATTCCCGCTAGCATTTACCAAGTTGAGTAGTTTTTGTTTGCACTCACGTAACAGTAGCTTAATCCAGAGATATAATTACAGTGCACTTTTGATTCTTATCTTCCAGTAATACACTGTGTGGTTTTGCTTGTTACTTATCATCTACAGGCTTCATCTTCTTTCACATTAAGACAGAGTTGGTTTGTGGCCTAAGGTTGCTTTAATTCCAATAGCTGTAATACTGAGTATACAAAATCACTTTCAGAAATTCTAGCCTAACTTTAAAAGTTAAATAATTATCTGGGAATCAATTGAGTTCTTCTGAGTTCAATCTAGGACTGACACCATCTGATATGCACTTGTACAATAACCTCAATAACTCAAATACTGAAGGTCATCTACCCTATAGTAATTCTAAACATTCATTGTCCTAGCTGTTCCATCTTGGGGGTCACGAGGAGAGCCCTTCCCTTGCTGATCCACAGGTAGAACACATAGCTTCTGAACAAAAGCTGCATAAACCATAGCTTTCTCAATCAGACCTAGCACCCCTGATGGTCACCCAAATACCGCAGTGAAGCATACCTGTCTTCCCCCGGTGTGTCACAGCCACTCATAAGAAGCAAAAACCTCACCTGAGTCACCACCCTCTTGTATTTGCTTTAGCGAGTGTTGTATTTTATATATAGGCTCCTTCCATACACACACATATACAGAGAGAAAGACAGCGAGATTATAAACACACAGATTCTAACACTAGGACCATTTATTCTTTTGAGCACATTGTCTATGTTCATTTTCTGTAGTTTACAAAATCAGTAATTCATATCTAAGGATGGATCTAAAATAAACGATAAATGAGTTCAATTCAGAGTTCAGCTTAAACCACATTTTGAAAATATGTAATTTGACTAATCTGATTAGAGTACTAGTGATTGACATGGCTAGTCTCTTGAATATTACACATCTCTTGAAACCCTTTGCATTGTTTTTATTGTGCAACTAACTGCTTTGTTTGTAGGTGAATGAAATTTACCATGATGAGTCCCTTGGAGTGCACATAAACGTGGTCCTGGTGCGCATGATAATGCTTGGTTATGCAAAGGTAAATTTTCTTAAAGTGCATGGATTATGAACTTTAGTGACCAAGTTGGCAAGTAGAAGTTTAAGTTGCTGAATTATACCTATCCCATGTCTCATGTAGACTCCTGGTTGCACCTAACTGAGGAGAATCTGCTAGAATAGGTAGAGATTTCCAAGTCTGAGCAGATAATTTTTGTTATTGTTTGGGGGATTGATGTTGTTATTGTTTGTTTTAATTTCGAGACAGGGTCTCATGTAGCCAAGATTAGCAACCTCTAGGGTCAAGGATGACCTTGAACTTCTGATCCCCCTGTCTCTGCCTCCTGAGTGCTGGGATTACAGGCAGGCCTGGTTTATGCATTGCTGGAGATTGAACCAAAGACCTAATGCATACTAGACAAGCACCCCACAGCTGAGCTACATTGACCCAGTTATGATGTTTAGGTATGACTAAATGAATGAACTAAGTGAACATGAACAAATGCCATTAAGAGAAAAGAAAAAAATTTAGGCCTATTATATTACCATGAGGTTTGTGATCTGTATATTCATTCACAGGGTCTATAGTGAATGCCCATTTGTGTGGTAGTTACTCTCAAAGCACTTGGAATATATCAGTGAAGGAAAAGGAAAGATCTTTGTCTTGATTTATTCAAATCAATGACACAGATATAGAAATATAGAGAGATGTAACAGAAAGCTATATCTATATATCTTTCTTAAAAGTGAAGCACCATGCCTACTTTTTCATTTGAAAAAGGTTTAATACTTTTGAAAACAGAAAGTTGGATCAAAAATACACAGTAGCCATTCCATGCAATAGATTTACATAACCTGCTTTATATTGGTGCCAGATGTGCCCTGTCTTTGGAAATAATTAATTTTAAAAATTTGAAAAGATACTAGCTTGAAAATTTTCATCATGTTTAAAACAGTGAATGTGTCCCATCGTTAATCCTCCTGATTATGAAATGTTAATGAATTTATGCATTGAGGAAACCACAAACCTCCATGTGTTTATATTTCATTATGCATTTAACATGCACATGTCATGATCTAAATAGGGTATCCCTGATCTTCAGCTTCTCTCCGAAGCCTGACCTACTTTGTGTTGCTACCAAGGAATACACTAGCTCTAGCTGGAATTCCTAATAGCCTTCAGTTGGTCATTAAATCATTTGTTTTCAGAACTATGTGATTAGCATATAACAAACCAAGCTAATTTTGTTAAGAATGTAAACATTGATAATAACTTTTGCTGAAATTTAATAAATCTCTCAGCCATTAGCCAATTAGGACCTCAAGGCATTCTAAATTCAATTTCTCTCTGTGTAAGCAACACTCTGAGAAACGTGACTCCTGGGTTCTTGAAGGATGGACCTGAACTTTTAAACTCCGGATCACAATGTGATAGTGCCAAAATTCCAAAGAATTTAAATCTATCCTTGGGAACTATAAGATAAAAGTCCATCCCCCATCTTATCATGAGCTTTAAAATCTATTTTGGTTTCCCCACCCCTAGGGTGAGGTTAATATAATGTGACTGTTCCCTGTACACTAAAATTTTGATCTGTCTTGCCAGCTTTTGGAAGAACTTTTCCTTCCGCATGTTGATTATTTCTGGGACAAAAAATTACACAAAAACTTAACTAAGATCTTTGATTTTTATATCTTTGGAAAAGTCTCATGCAAGTATATTTCCCAGTATATTTCCTAGTATTTTTATTCGTAGTATTTTTGCTTTTAATGTCTATGAAATTTTAAATCTAAGCAGAATCAGGAATATTTTAAGAGTTCTAAACTTCTTCCCCATATGACTAATGCCAAATTACTTCACAGTAGTAAATCTTTACGTCTAACATTGCTATGCATGACAACTATTAATTTTCATGTAGGTAGCACTGGACTTCACCATGGTATCCTTCATGGGCACTAAGAATTCCTAAATCAAAGGCAATGCCCTAAATAGTATTTCTGAATCATTGTTGATATATTGTAATCCCCAATTCCAACTTCAGAAAAAGTTATTAAACGAAGCCTTTGAAACAATAATGCCTCTGTCTTTAACATACTGTTTCCTTTTAGTCCATCAGCCTCATAGAAAGGGGAAATCCATCCAGGAGCTTGGAGAATGTGTGCCGCTGGGCTTGCCAACAACAAAAACCTGATCCCAACCACTCTGAACACCATGATCATGCAATTTTCTTAACCAGGCAAGACTTTGGGCCTGCTGGAATGCAAGGTATTACTATTAATATGTAGAAGAAAACATAGGGCCTGGATTTTCAAAAGTAACCTTAAATCATACAGTCTGTTCAAATGTTCCCACCCCCACCCCCCGACACACACTTTCCACCATGTACCAGCCAAGCATACATTTGGTTTCTTCCAGTGACTTTCTGTGGAATTCACAATGTTAAATGCCATTTAAATACCATAATAAATTATACTTGCCTTTAAAAGTAATGATTGTGCATTTGGGGTATGGAAGGGATGCTGTGAAATGCAGTGTGATTTCTAACTGTTTGGAATGAGACTAGCTGCTGCCAAAGAGTTCTCTTCCAAAGTCAGCTTACATTGATCTAATAAACTCTGATGTGGACTTTGGAAAAAGCAGACTGACGATTTTCTTTTCAACAATGATGGAATTTCTGGCTCCCTTCATCAGTAGCAAGATATGAGAGACCATTTACTAAAACAGAAAGACGAGGGTTAACTGGTGGGCAGAACAGAATGGCCACCCCAGGCAGTTCCTTCCCCTTAGCGGAGAAAATGCAGACCCAGTGAATCTTTTACCATTACCTGTGCCTTTCCCAGGAGAATGTGGCCTACTGCTAACATGGAAATAATGCTGTCCCTGTTTGCCGAAATACTTTTTTTTCCCCCCAGGCAAAGATCCAGTACTAATTCTTAATGAGTGTTTTTTTATAAAATGGAAATAAAAGTGATTGTCATTCTCCGCAGGATATGCTCCGGTCACAGGCATGTGTCATCCAGTGAGAAGCTGCACCCTGAATCACGAGGATGGATTTTCATCTGCTTTTGTAGTAGCCCATGAAACTGGCCATGTGTGAGTTACTGTTGACAGCTATATAGAAAAAAGAAGTTTTTTCTTTGCTTCCTCCACTGTTGTTCACACTTTGGACAAAATGCATGCCAGCCTGTAGTTCTCATCCCTTGCCAAGTGTTAGATGCTGAAAACAGTAAAGGGGCCATGCACTAGAACTCAGTGGGTGGCTCTGTCTTGCCTAGCATCCTGTGCCTTTCATAGTTATAGAACAAGAAAGGCATTTCTGTCGGACTGCTCTCAATTTCAGTATCCACGACGTCTCCAAGGAAGCCATGTTGCCTTAAAAAATATGTCTTTCCCAGTGTATATTATGAGAAAAGAAAGGAAGCCCAAGCTGTGACCCTGCGATTCTTACTACTGAGATCTCCTCTGTGTTCTAGGTTGGGAATGGAGCATGACGGGCAAGGCAACAGGTGTGGTGACGAGACTGCCATGGGAAGTGTCATGGCTCCCCTAGTACAAGCTGCCTTCCATCGCTACCATTGGTCCAGATGCAGTGGTCAGGAATTGAAAAGATACATCCAGTATGTGCCCTGCTGCATGTCATGGCCTGATGCTTAGGCTACACACACGACATCAGCTCTTGGGACTTTGATATAGCAAAAATCCCAGTAAATGAAACCTGTTGTTCAAAATAAACATTTTCTTCCAACTCAGAGGTACAATCTTCAACACAAAAGATTCCATAATGTCATCACAGTATGTTAAGCCATGAGCCTAGAACTTAGATGCATTTTAACTGGAATGGGATTTTCTTTGGGTAAATTCCTTGTGAATGATGGTAAAACTTGAGTTGAGGCTGGAAACAGGATGTTCATATGATTTCTGCATGACCCACCTATACCCTTCAGTACAGGTATTAGTATCTGGCCTACCACAATTTGTGGAGGATCACTTAGTGACATTAATCAGGTGGCTACAGCTCTAATACATCCTTGAGAGTGGTGTGTGTGTGTGTGTGTGTGTGTGTGTGTGTGTGTGTGTGTGTGTGTGTGTGTGTGTGTGTGTGTGTGTGTGTGTGTGTGTGTGTGTGTGTATTCCTTGAATGAATCAGAATAAAGGATGAATAGAATTAAAGTAAAAAACCTTAAGATGTATGCTTCTGTAAACCTGCTCCAAGAGCTGATAAAATTCCAGATTATATAAGCTAAGAGCCTGTTCCCTTTAGGACTTGATTTCCAAAGATGAATGTTTAACTCCATGTAATGCTTTCCTTCTTGTAGTTCCTATGACTGTCTCCTTGATGATCCTTTTGAACATGATTGGCCCAAACTCCCAGAACTTCCTGGAATAAATTACTCCATGGATGAGCAATGCCGTTTTGATTTTGGTGTTGGCTACAAAATGTGCACTGCGGTATGCGACCCACTGTCAATTTAGTTCTTTTATCTTGAACTCTGTTTATGTAGCTCCCTTTTGGTTGGGCTCTGCAGATTAACTGGTACAAGTGTAAAAATATCTGTAATTATCTTGTATTTTCTATATTGTTGCATGCTAAACTAGATGCCTTAAATATATAACTTTAGTGAATCTTCATGAGAGACTAGAAGGGAGATCATAGTCTATTATTTTGTAAACAATGTTTGTATGTTTACTCAGTGATGATGAAACACTTTAGAATTATACAGTGGAAAAAGTCAATTTCTCAGAGTTTTCAGATTCCTTATATGTTACTCCTTGAGGTTCGGGGACAAAACATCAGTATTCTCAGAAATTCTTAGGTATTTAATACTTTAATATAGTCTAGCAGTCTTCAGAGTATCACTGTGTAGCCCAGATTGACCTGGAACTTGCTATGTAGACCAGCTTGGCCTTGAACTCAAAGATATCTGCCTATTTCTGCCTCCCAAGTGCTGGGATGCACCACCATGCCTTGCCAAAACTTCTATTTTTCTTTTCTTTCTTTCTTTCTTTCTTTCTTTCTTTCTTTCTTTCTTTCTTTCTTTCTTTCCTTCCTTCCTTCCTTCCTTCCTTCCTTTTGAGGAAAGGGTTTATTTGGCTTATGTGTCCTAATCACAATTCATCCTTGAGGTTAACCAGGAACCCAGAGGTATGAACTGAAACACAGACCATGGAGGAATGCTGCTTACTGGCTTCCTTCCTCTGGCCTGTGCTCAGACAGCTTTCTTATACACTCAGGACCACCTACCCAGGAGTGGTACTGCTCACAGTGAGCTGGGCCCTTCTACATCACTCAATAATCAATAGAATGTCCCATAGACATGCCCACAGGCCAGTCTGATAGAGGAATTTCACTTCTATTTGAAGGGGGAAAAAAGGCAAGATTATAGAGGTTTAGCAACTTGCTCAAGCCATACCTGGTAAATAGGGAGCTTGACTTTGAACCAAGGGTCTCAGGCTCCAAATCTTTATGTTCCATTCCTTCTCTGGTTTTTGTAACCTTCAGTGATTGAACCATAAGCTTTCTATGACTTGATGGCCATAATTCCTTATGTTTGTGACCACAGGAAATGCTTATGCAGATGTATTGTAAGAACAAACTCTAAAAGAATGTCAGCAGAACTGGGTGTGGTCATGCCTGCCTATAATCACAGCACATGGGAGGATGAGGCAGGAGGATCAAAGTAGATTTAGCTACTTAAGTAAATTCAAGACTCACTTCAGCTATAAATTTAAACTGTGCTTCAGAAATAAAAACACAAAACATCCAATGGTTGAACACTGTGATGTGGGTATCACACTGAGTGTATCAGATCTCCCGCTACATATATGATCTTTGGTGCCATGTTTAATATCTCTGGCATAGTTTTCATTATCTACTGTGGATAATTGTATTATTTATTTCTTATGCTTTGTCTAAGGATTCTATGTGATAATGTAATTAACATGCTTAGCACAATTCAGGCACACAATAAAATGCTAAATGAATCCACTCAAACCAGCCTTTCACATAGATATTCAGATTAGAGATCTCATTAACTGTCTACGCTGATCTTAACAAGTTAATTTTTGTAAAGAAAGCGTTTTTTTAAATTTATGAACAAACTTTCTTAGAGCAGGAAATTTATATTTCTTAACCCAATTTTTATCTTTTCCTTTACCTCTCTGTTTCCATTCCATTATCCTGGTTTCTGTAGTTATATCTGGATACATACTCACTAATCAGGTTTTGGTTCTAGGATCCACATATGAGGGAGAACAGATGTCATTTTTTTTTGTGACTCTGTGTTACTTCAATTAGTATAACAGTTTCTAGTTCCATCCATTTACCTGCAGATTTCATGATTTCATCTTTCTTTACTGCTGAGTAAAACTGCATCATATAAATGAACCACATTTTCATTATCCACTCATCAATTGGGGGACACTTACCTTGCTTACATCTCTTAGCAGTTGTGAAAAGACCAGCAACAAACATGGATGTACAAGTGTCTCTGCAATAGGATGAGTTCTTTGGGTATATGCCTAGGAGTGGTATAACTGGGTCAAATGGTAGGTTCATTTGTAGTTCTTTAAGAAACTACACACTGCTTTCCATAGGGGTTGAACAACTTGGCAGCCCCGCCAGCAGTGGATGAGTGTTCCCCTTTCCCCACATCCTCTCCAACATTTGGTATCATTTGTTCTCTTGATCTTAGCAAGTCTGACTGGGGTAAGATGAAATCTTAAAGTGGTTTTACTTTGCATTTCCCTAATTATTAATGATGTTGAACATCTTTTAAGATGTTTCATACCCATCTTTACTTTTTCTTTTGAGAACTCTCTGTTCAGCTCCTTAGCCCATCTTTTAATTGGGTTATTGTTGTCTTGATTCTGTTATTTGAGTTCGTTATATATTCTGGATATTAAACCTCTGTCGGATGTGTGGCTGGTGAATATTTTCTCCCATTCTATGGGTTTTCTGATCGTTTCCCTGTTTGCCTCCTTTGATGTACAGAAGCTTTTTAGTTTAATGAGGTCCTATTTGTTAATTCTTTCCCTTGTTTCCTGAGCGATTGATGTCCAGTTTAGAAAATCCTTTCCTACACCTATATCTTATAGGTTTTTCCAAATGTTTTCTTCTAAGAGTTTCACAGTTTCAGGCTTTACATTGAGGTCTATGATAGATTTGGAATTGACTTTTGTGCAGGGTGAAAGATAAGGGTTTAGTTTCATTCTTCTACAGGTGGAGATCCAGTTTTGCCATCACCATTTGCTGAACATGCTGTCTTTCCTCCAGTGAATATTCTTGGCCCCTTTGTCAAAATCAGGTGGCTGAAATCATATTTACTCATATTTGGGTCTTCATTTTTGTTCCATTGAACTATGGGTCTATTTTTGTGCCAGTACCATGTTGTTTTATGACTATAGCTCTGTAATACAGCTTAAAATTTGGTATAGTAATCCACCCAGCATTGCTCTTAGTGTTCAGGGTTGTTTTGGCTATTCGAGGTCTTTTGTGCCTCCATATGAATCTTAGGATGTTTTTTTCCAATTCTGTGAAAACTGTCATGGGGATTTTGATTGGTATTGCATTGAATCTATAAATGGCTTTGGTAGGATGGTCATTTTCACAATATTAATTCTTCCAATCCATGAGCATGGGAGGTCCTTCCATCTTCTGATTTCTTCCTCAATCTCTTCCTTTAATGTTTTAAAATTTCTTTGTAGAGTTCTTTAATGTCTTTGGTCAGGTTTATTCCAAGATATTTTATTTTTTTTGTGGCTATTGTGAATGGGAGGGTTTCCCTGTGCT